AATGAAACACTCTGGGCGCATTTTGCAAAGAATCCTATCGAAAATGCCCTGGATCGGAACACTTTTTCGATTATATAACCACTTTTTCTCCATATAACGACATTTCAACATTTTTCTACAGAAATCGCTGAGTGATAATATGTCGGCATTCTACCTTGATGTGAAAAATGCGATGAGAAAATTTTTTGAGCCTCCTCCCATATAATTATCCCACCGAAAACTGAACCTTAGTTACGTACAATCGTCTTAATTTCATTATTTACTCGTGAAACTCGTCTATATTTTGGCGCCCCATTCCACCTAAGGTCTCTAATGAACTGACAACAAGTTTAACTTTTAATATGTTATGGTGAAAATTTGTGCAGTATTCAGAGAATGAATGAATAACAGAATTATACGAAGTGGTGCAAGATATCTAATTGAAGGCTCTACCGGACTATAGTGCTTTTGTTTGTTCAGCTTCAGTTTTGTCAGTGCTATTATCGCGTTTCAGTTTAATAAGTCTTTTAATTTGTAGGTTGCTTATTTCTTGCTAATTTGTAGGCATTGAAAATTTATCTGTACGCAACAGGTAAGAATATAACAGATAGTCCAGAAATTTCGTACGGTTTTCGCGACCACAGGTTAAAATAACTTTTCTCGTATAGGTTCACAGGTAAGTAGGGTTAAAGGTGTATGCAGTTGTCTAGAGCAGGCTTACATTAATTTAGTAAAACAATTTAACTATCAATTGATAGTTATAGTAATGAGACGTAAGTAAAACGTAGAATACTAAAGTGCGCATATAAGATATATTTTACTCTTTTATTTCAAAACAGAAAAGAGCTGAAGAGAAATATGTGCCGTGTATGGAGCTAATGCTGTGCCAGAACGCAAAGATTGGTTTGCGAAAGTTCGTTATGCAGGTTTTAAGTAAAGTAGATAAAGCTGATCGACATATAACGCTTAGTGAGATTGCAGAAACACTTCATTCTTCCGAAACAACGCAAAATGCATAGCGAAAAACTGCAATATTTCCGGACTGTCTAATATATACAAAAATTCGTACTTCTATTTTAAATTTTGCCATTACATATTAGACATCAACGATTCGTTCGGAAACATCTGTTTCTCTTGATAAATTTAAGTATGTTTATACATACCTGCGAAATATATTTTCAAGGCATTTATAAATCAAGCTGCGACTGTTATCATACAGCAGGTGCTTCGAACGTTGGGTCCGCGACTCAAATGTTGTTGAATTAAGAAGGCTCCACCAGTAAATAGGGTCGGGTGGTGGAATATATTGCAATTGCAAATTGTAAAAAACTCTTAACGATCTTTTGGGATTCGCGAGGGTAATCGGTAGACTAACCCCTAGTACTAGCTGTGAAATTAGAAGAAAAAATATCAAATTACTACCAATTTTTTGTACAAAATATATATACCTATATATGCTTATATTCGCCACAGGTTGTGCAAAAAAGTTCTAGGAATTGGCTAAAATAGAAGGTTTCTTACTTAATTGCTACCGATTCATCGAACCATTTTTAAAAGCACCCCTTCTTTTTATTGACTTTAATACCTATAAGAATTTCCTTTTAGAGTGATGGTTTTACATCGCCTCAAACGAAGTGATACTTTTGGATTTTAGGAAAAAATAAATTGTGAAAATTGAGAAAAACTTTCCCTCTTTTGGGATAACACGGCCTGAAAAACATTTCAGTGCGAACATATTATGCAAAATGTCAATATGTGAGTCCATATGTGAGATATATCAACTGCCTTAGTTGTCTGTTTCATGTCTTTTATGACGATTTTCCAACATTATCATCACATTTTGAGGATGTTTTCTTCGTCGGATAACAAAGATTCTCGAGCGGAACGGGGTAAATATTTTGTGTAACATACATATTGGCGTTTTTCATGAATCCTTATAGTCCCGTTTCACTTGAACGCTGCAATTTTGCAGAGGATAATTTAAATAGAAATCCCCAGTTTGACGTGCGTTTCCGTTTCATATTTGTGTTTAAAGCATATACTAGAGCACAATTAGGTTTAATAATCGATGTCGTAGTCGCTAACTCTAGCAAATAAAAATCTTCTAGAAATGACGCTTACTTTCACTACGCCGCCCATACCGTAAGCCAGAAACGTGCGTTTACTACGTTTTAAGGAGCTACTTCGAAATGTCCAAATCTCGTGAGGATTGGCCTGAAAATCCGACTGGAGATTGGCGGTTATATTAATGTAACGTTTCGTTTCAACATTGGCGAAAATGAAACAAAGTGAAATGCCCGTAGTTACGATGATGAAGTTTTCAGGACTCGTCAACATGATAGTCAAAACTTAAAGTAATTAAATATTACGTTAAGCACAGGATCGGAGGACTAATTTAAAGTTTTAAATTAAGCAATGATGTTGTATTATGTTGCGAATTGCTTTGTATGGACATATGTACGTATATGAACGTTTCTATAATTGTGACGACGGTGCGAATGTTTCTGGTTAAAATTCTAAAGTGGTTTTGCGTGCAATTAACACGTTGATATGCGGTTTTTATGCTATATTTTTGCAAAGTTGACAGAAATAAATGTAAATTTTCCTACACATATGTAGGTATGCATATCTATCGTATATATAGATGATTAGGTATGCGTATGTATGCTTAGTTTCACTCACTTAGTTTGTATTAGCTTTTCACGACTATCATATTTGCATATCCAATTACATGAATAAGTGTGTGCGCGTACGTGAATACTGCCAGCTGATATAAGCATGTCGTGCTGATGAGTTATGGCCACAACGGCCAATATTCGCTGGCAACATTGTCCACAAGCATTTTACAAAAAAAAAAAAGAAAAAAGCGACCTAATTTAACCTGAAATCATTAACAGCTACTTGACGTTGCCTGATAGTTGACGCTATATTTATATAATGGTCAACCAGACAATATCAACTAATTTTTTGTAGTCAACTTCTACGTACACAAACCCACCACATAACCCACCTCGAAAATATGATTGTGAGGCAAAAAATTAACGCAATTGAAAAAACTTTTGAATTTGGTTAAAATATTTACTGGATTTCTCTCAAATCTAACAAAATTAATCACTTTATTTGCTTAATTGATTTATGGCTTAACAATTTAAACATTTTATTTATTTACTTAAATAATTCATTATTATTTTAATTACTTAATATGTAAATAAGATAATTGTGTACATATGTGAACAATGTTGTAAATATCGAGAGAAACAGGAATAAATTTACTTAATATACCGGAGGAGAATATTACATTTACGTAGTGTGTGTGTAAAAATATGAATTGGGGGCCTTAAATATGGATATATATAAATGCTTATTACTTAACTGCCTACGGGTCACTCCGTTAACCTAATTCCTAAATGTTGTCTTACTACTTTCACAAACACAACCCAAGTTTTAAGAAACTACTAAGTCGGGACAAAGTTTATCACGACTGCTACGGAATTATATGTAAATAAAGCCAAACATGTAGTTTGAGCAGATGTCTGTAAGGTGCTACACTCGGTTCAAAAATCTCGCGTATAGTGCAGTTTTGTAGCAACTGACGTTCAAAATTCATCGTAAATTAGATTGTGTAAAATTATCTATAGCTATTTCTACTTAGGACATCAATTTCTTCCTGGGGTGCGGACAGATTAAGCATATAATATCAAAACGAACGCAGCAGTTCGTTCAAAACATTAGAAAATGTTATATAAAACGCTTACCAAAGCGTATTTTTCCAATTGCATTGCTCGCGGATCATTACAATAATTATACCTTTCGTAATAAATTATTGAAGCACATTGCCGTACTCTCAGTGGAGACTTCATTACAATGTTTTCACTTTTGCATTCGGTGAAATAAGTTTTTGTCGTCATCCTTTCACGAGGAAAGTGTAAGTTCGCAAGCATTAACCCTTCATTGCGATATCAAGGGCTCCGCAGGTAGTTTTCGGCTAGATTAAAAAGGTATTACTAGACGTCAAAGTCGCACTGGCTGGGTGAAAGGCCCGGTGATTGGGCGCTTCAGCGATGTTGATACAGCCAATTGGCGTGAGCTACGTCTGGTATCACTCACTGGGTATTCAATATCATCCGTTTGCAAATTTCCGTGAAATGCTTACATCTTCCCAGACAGCACTTGCGGATAGTACGCTTTTTCTAAACAGAGGTCGTGACCAAAATGAATGAACCCCATGAGCTTTTATTCACCTTACAAGACATTTGCAATGGATTTGCTAGTGATTTCCTACATTGATTTACGTGAGCACGATGTTTTAAGCGGCTTTGGAGACGTCAGTATTTAACTTCTATACTATTTCTTTCCACCAAAGCGAACATATAGAAGAAATATTCAATGCCACGGAAAATCATAAAGTTACTTTTCTACTTTTCTTACTTCTTTTTAGATGGTTGTCATGAATTAAGAGGCTTATTAATTGCTGCTACTGTATACTCGGACTTAAATAAGTGAAATGTGGAGCGGTTCTAATTGAGTCGTGATATATGAATAAAGCACGAGAAAATTGCGAAAAAAGTTAGATTATTTCAAATTATTCCCTAATAGAATTGCTACGAAACTCGTTTTTTTCGGATACGGTTCGTATCACTAGATCGTGGATATGTTCTTTTAAGAGAAATACACTTGCACGTTTTCACTTCAAAATTCTTTACTTAATCAATCAATTTCTTTGAGGGTAGGATTATTTACATTTTACTTTGCAAAAACTTTCGGCTTGTCAACTCTAATATTGTTTTTTGATCAAATGTTCTTGTCCGACTGACCCTGCCTTCCACAAATAGTTTATTTATGTACATATTTTCAAGAATATTACTAATAACTAACTTTATGGCTTAATTTTTAATCCGTTAATCTGCTTTTCCGCTAATCGTTTTCCTCGACGGCAGCTGCATGACATATCGCGAATGTGCACTTTTTTTCCCTCTCTAGGCAATTTTTTTTTGTTTTTTAAATCAATTAGTTGGAAGGAACTGGATTTGAGATTTTCGTAACAATAGAATAAAACGATAAACGAGTTTCATTGGATACTAGACTAGAAAAATAACGTAATCAAATAAGTTAAATCGCGGCATCGACGTTTACTCTAACTGTGCTATATTTTAGCACAGTTTAGAGGCCGACTCTCTAGGTAGGTTTTATCCAAAATCATTATTCACATTGATAATTGAAATTTTTACAATATTATAATTAAAATGAAATTTCTAATTCAATAAACTAAACAAATAGCGCCCATACTACTAAATGGGAAAAGTATGTACATTCTGGAAGAAACAGGTTACTATACAGGATCCATCAAGAGAGAAAACCGCGGCGAAAAAACCGAAAATCCGTATTCTTGTAAATTTTCTTGGAATGTGATAAAAAGCAATAGAATAATGATAAAGAAAGAAATCATTTTTGAAAAATATTAAAAAATAACAGCACAGAAGCTATTTTTGTGTCGCCACATTATGTTAAAAGGCTATGTGGCTCGCAGTACGTGTGGTGCATATATAACTTGAAAAAAATCTTTATTCTCGGAACAGGTAGGGAATACGTAACGTATTTTAAAAATATCAATTTTCTCTGTAATTGACGGCTGTTTGAAGGAAAAATATCATGTTTCCACCAAAAAAAAACCCAAAAACTTTGCTGACAAATAAAATTGTAATTAATTTCTCGAAAGCCCCCTACATACTGCTTTTCCGATTTTAAAGGTCTCGTGAAAAGTTCGAATGAGAATTGTTGCAGTTTGGGGAATAATATTTTTATAAACCTTTTCCATCGGTCTCCAATGTCAGCGCTTTATGATAACCTGTCGCGTTCCAATATTCTTCCCCATTCTCGTTTCTTAAGAATTTTTCTAAAGTGTGTCACAGTCATTACACGTCAGTCGTTCGGAAATGAGCAGAAAATGTATCATTCTATATGGGAACTTAGGATTATTGTCCAAACCCTTATTATACACTTTTAATTTCCGGACATAGGCTGTGACTTTTTTCGAATCGACTTCAATCTTTATAACGGTTCATCAACGCTACTATCGAGGAAGTAACACTCACACTTTTTTGTTTCGTAACGTTTTTGAATGTTTTTTAAAGTTATCTATTAGTGGTTTGAAGTCCCTTTTCAGCAGAGCTTTTTTTTTGATATGGGCGGTCTTTTTGTAGCGCTTCGGGAAAACGCTCGAAATTTCTTGGGAAAGACTTTCTGTATGTAATGAGTATTTCTCCAAATATTCTAATAGTTTAAGGCCTTAATGAAGCGAATAGTAAAAAAGTGTTTATGAAAAACTTGCGGTAGCTTATCTCTTTGATGGAAGAAGTGATATATCGTAATGCATATTCAATTAAGCTCATAGTGCAGTCGTAGGAGAAAATATATATATATATTCTAAGGAATGCAAGCAAAATGAGGTTATTATTTGTGAAAAAAAATCGTTTTACACAACTCTCGCTTCCATCACTGCTCATTCATCTTTGTTCGTTAACTTTAAAATTAACGTATAATTTTATTATAAACATGTTCAGGCGTATGACTTAACAAATGTCATCACACATACCATTATCATCAATCGTCACACGCTATAACAACTATGGCAATTGACAAACATACTATGGTTGTTGTCATTATCGTGAACAAGAGTCAGTCAGTCAGCTGCTCACTTGATTTAACCTTTATAGTGTTGATAACTACAATTATTGTTATTATTATGATTATTATTGCTCACATTACGCTAGATGCTGCTAGAAGCTTGTCCTATAAGTATACGGATTCCCACGCATTTAGTTTATTTTTTTTTAATGTTTGATGTTTTTGGTTTACAACAACAGCAAACGACATTTTTTACTGGTCTGCGGAATAATTATTAATATGTTTGGTTATACTTGTCATCGAATAACGAGGGTATGCCTGTTGCGTTGGTTAGATAGGTAAAATATAGAAAATTGTATATAAATATGAGTATGAATATGAGTCGATTTGTTCTTGGAATTTATAAACAATCTGTAAACAGCATATAAATAAGAATTTCACTTAAATTGGATGAGATCTTCAATACGCATTTAGGTGTGTAATTAAGTCATCACTGGTTTTTGCAAGAGATCGCTTTCGCCGTCCGTATTTTATTTATTTATTTAACTTTATCTTATTCTGTTTCCCAGAATAACATTTAAGGCGTTCGGTCGATTTGTCGTCGTTTACTTCATACGGCCACTTGCATACCTTGAAGTTATTTAGCAAAACATTCCATTAGCGCTTTATGATGCGGCAGTACATTGTTGCAAATGTTAATCTTTAACTTACGATGTCCGAGCGTCGAAATTAACTTGGCATTGATTTATGAACAGTTTATAGCTATTTCACTTTGGGTTAACATGTGTTCGCGTTTGCTAATGTATCTGTTATTGTTTGCAATTTATGTCAATCTATATAAGTTTGGTTTGAAAGTTCACACTTTAGTATACCCGCCGACTACAGTTTATCAAGTAAGTGTTTTTGTGGTTTGTTGCGTAATATATTAGAGATTATTTATACCTTTTTTGTTTTTTTTGCATATATAACAAATATTTAGATGATTGGTTCAATATCTATACCTATCAGCGGTTTGCCAATGAATCATAAAGTATTTTTTGATTGGGGTTTTCAGATGAACTATCAAATGCCATTTAATTTGTCAGAGTTTTATATGGTACCCATATGGTCAACGGGCGCCAGTAACGTGCAAAAACGCCATTTACACTATCAAACTGATTTCACCGTTAGGGAGTTATATGAGGGGTTGAAAGATTTGCTGGAAAGGTTTGTATGGTTTTAGTTTTTTATAGCAAAATTATTTCGGGAAAGCATTCAAAAGTCCTTCTCTTGTTTCAAGGGCTTAATAATGGGCATCAATTTCTGTTAGATGTAATCTGAAAAGTGAATAAAGTTTCACTTGTCTTTTTAATGGCTATTAATGCGTGCTCCTCAAACTCAATAGCAAATGCTGTTGTTATAAGTTGTAAGAGATCAAGGAGAGTTTGCCCTCTACGTAGCGCATCTACGCAGCGATATCAATCGCCCAAAAATGTTCATTCTTCTTGAATTATTTTTTTGTATCCAGTCCTGAGAGCGTATTGGATGCGAGTAAAATATAGAAATATGTATATCTTGATCAGCATGATTTAGAAATGTCTTGTACCTTTATACATTTATCCCATCTCTCAAATTTTATTTTTCTCACCACGGTAGAGAGAAAGAAAGAAAGAAGAACGATTTTTTTTCTGAAGTAAATTCATTCAGTTGCTCTTATAACAAAGCAACCGACGAATGCATTCTCGACCACTTTGCGCAATAAATCTTTCCTAATTTTATCAATACCGTGTTCAATATTCGTGTTTAATACACAAGAAATAGCGAAACCCGTGTCAACACTTAGCTTCTTGGAAGCCATGCAATAGCAGAAATTTCCATAACCAAACAGGCCAAATAACAAATGAAGTGTTTACTTGCGGCGTGGCACGTAGCCTTGTCTGAGCGGAACAATAGGTTGTTGAGATCGCCATCTTCCAATTCATGCCATTAAAAATTCGTTAACATCGATCTGCAGCGCTCTCCAATTATGGTAGGGGGACATCTATCTTCATTTCTAAAGAAATAAGAACCTTTGGTCGATAAAACACGTCTAGGGGTTAAAGTTGTCTAGGGAACAAAGGTTTAATTTTTACCTATGTATATTGGTAGTGCCATACCTATTCTATGTGCATGCTTAGAATTTTGTTTTAAGACGTTTTTTTTTTTGGAAAAGCTTTCATTGAGACTGGCTTAGGAAAACATTTCATTTTTGAACGATATCGTCGATATTTTCGAGTCTTTTATTTCCATCAAAATTTTTAGTCAATATATAATATTAGGTACGTACTTGGGAGATCACGTGGCGCTTCCATGCAGAGAATAAGAAACCTATTTGCATTTGATACATGGTTGACGTGGCCAAACTTAGATTCGCGAAGCAAAAGCAAATAGTTAGGTGTCCATAAAAAGTTATTCGGTTCATTCTTACTTCGTTTAACTAATCAATATTTCATCAGTTATGGCTTTCATAGATCCTGCCTTGGTCGCAGCATATGTGAATTGGCTCGACGGCCATTTGATGATAACTACAAGAATATTTTAACAGATATTTTAACATTTTTATTAACGTAAGTAGAAAAATGCTTTAACTTCTTACTAAATGCAATTCAGACGAACATTTTAGGCCATCTTTGCATGAAGAACATTTCTCAGCTGCAAATCCTGAAAATTCCATATATAATGACGTGGAATTTATCAGCAGTGGTATCGGTCACAGTTGCAGATTTTTGTATCAAAATTGTACTATGGATTTACTTAGTCTAATAAGTAGATATTAAATAATCAAACAATTCTTCTACGGATATGTGGTTTTTTATAAATCCATAAATATGACTTTTGTAAAGGAATTAAATAAATTGTAATTGCATTGAAAATAAATTTCTCGACAATTTCTACCTAGGAGACCATTTAATTCAGCAGCTTCGTACAGTTCAACATTTAGTTGCATAGGATGATCAAGACGTCCATGTAGAGATGGGCTAAAGAGTTTATTATTAAATGGATATATTTTACGCAAAAATTAATTGCGGCGCTTTAGCTCACCTCAATACAAAAGTTAAAATATTTGTCAATACATTTACATCATCATCGGCGAACGGATGTTGAGCCAAGTCACAAATGCTTAGTAGTAAACAATTTTCATGGTAACCATAACTAAAAACATTTTAGATTTTCATAGCTTAACTGTTTTCTTTTTGTGTAAATAACTCGTTAAGTTTACCTTTTCATTATATCCTCTATACCTTGATAAAGTTCGTTAGCAGTAAAGTCATTTGGATGTCGCTTTGTAAACGTTAGCATGTTGTATTTCTCCCAAGGAGACCATAGGGTTTGATTGCGAAAACTTGATTCGCGTTTCTGGTGTTTAGAGTTTTGTTTACTTGGCCATATGGGTACGTTGTAGAACGATGATAGAGAGTGAGGTAAATCGTAAGACATTTGAAAGCACCAATCAATAAACAAACTACGTTCAGGTAATAGTTCAGTGATAGGAACGGAAACTGATGCAATTACCTGCGGGATTATGTAAATTAAACGAAAAAGAAAAAGTAATAAACGAATAAAACATGAAATATGATAGATAAATATCAAATTGAAAAATCTTCTGGTTCGTAACCTTATAGCAAAATCTGTCCTGTAAAAATATTTTTCTCTTCCATGAACTAGCCATGTTTTCCTTCGAATTTTTGTATTCAATTGACCCAAAAGGTTTTAAATACTTGCAGTTTTTTTTTTTTTAGTAGTTCAGAGGTAATTAACGAAATTGCCGCTAGGTCTCAAAAAGTTCCAGCGAAATGAATGGGAGGCACAGGGCGCAACACTTAATTAGTACTATTCGCTGTCATTTATTTGTCACCTATTGAATGCATGTGAAACAAATGGAACAAATGGTTCTTTTTCATTGTTCAATAAGATCGGTCGAAATATTCAGTTCGCTCGGAAGAACGTCTTTTTCGAAGCGAAGTTCTATGAGAGAAATCTTTAGTTAAAAACTCTATAGGTGTTAAAAATTTCTTGAAATTGAATAAATTCTCGCTGTTTCTCGAGAGTGGCCATAAGTAATACTACAGTGCAGTAGATGCAACTGTCATTTCTCCATCTCATTATAAAGCCCATTTGATTTTACACAATAGTAGAGATGTGTACAGAAAATGTTTTTTGAAGCTGTGAATACTTCTCTTTTAAAAAACTTCAATTACGCAACATAGATTTTTCTGAATAAGTTGATATGGCAAAACACTCTCGGGAAACGTTATTCATCAGACACCGCTTCTTCTGATTAACACTGGATTACTGTCTTTTTGAGTGTAACTTGCGTTCTTATAGAGTAGTACTTAGTGCTAGGAAGTAAATCGAATATAATATATGTCGTGCTATTTTTTTTTTAAAGTATTCGTTTCATTTTATTAAAGGATCAGCGGAAACTTATTCGTCCACCTAATAAGTACACTTTATACATAGTTTGTAGGCACGGTATCAATTCACTTATTATTATTTTTAGAATTCAGGACTTACGGCTATAGAAGACGAAGCGGGATGTAATACACCTACAGATCTGATTATAAAAAACCTCATATATATGAGAATTATATAAAATGATGGCATTTTATGGTATTGTAAATTATTTAAAATATTTTTCATTGTAATTCAGTATAAGTGATTTATTTTCTTCCTTCTTTTAATGTACTATATATAAAGTTACAGTTAGTTTTAAGCTCACTTAAGTGTTCTGGTTGACTTCCCAACTGGGATTGTCTTCTAAACCATAAACCTTTTATATAAATAATTGTAATAAAGATGTCATGATCATTTCAGAGATTAATAAGAAATATAAACAACAAAAAATTCAGTAAATTATTGTTTACCCTTTTGTCCGGCACATGTTCAATTTAGTTTCATTTTAAGCCCAGCAAAGTTAAGACCGCATTAAAGCGTACAATGTGTACTAGACAATTCATTTTGTTGGTGATTATTTCGTGCTTAACGCTCCATTACTCATCGCAAGTAAACATTAGCAATCATACTATCTTAAGACCTATCGTTGATCGTATATTTCTACGTAAGCGACGCTGGCTCTTATTTCCTAAAGGAAGTTCTTTGAAATTTACCGTATTCGTTAGTAAACGTCTCCTGGCTTTATACCCCAAGGGTTTCAGTTTGAACATAGAAGCTGCTACTTATTATCCAATGCCTACCAGTCGAATTGATTTATTAGCAAATCAATTTCACAAACCTTCTTCTGTAATGGGCGCGGATAAAAACGTCTTAATTGCCACTAATCTAACGAAACATCACGACAAATTAAGCAAGTTATATAATATTACCGAACCACAATGGCTACCAAAGAAGCCATATTATGCATCAGATTATCAAAAACTATTTTTAACAAAAATGAAATTAAAAAATAAGTCATGGTCATCAAAGAAATATGCAAAAAACATCTATAAAAAAAATTACAGTGAATACCAACCAAAGTACATACCGGAGCGCGGAATAATTGAACAATCACATCATTATTACAATGTCCGTGAACGTCGAGATCTATTTCATCATTTTGAAGGCTTTAGTAAATTGTAAGAAAATGAACACAAAGAAATTTGCACTTAAAGCAGTTAATATGGATTAATTCCTCTGATATGGCATTTAAAGCAGTTAATATAGATTAATTCCTCTGATATGGATTATTTTTACAAAATTACAGTTAGAAATTCATTACGATTGTAAAGAACCGACAGAAAAATTAACTTAACTTTCGAAATCTTCGCCAAGTGGAGAAAATAATATTTCAGAGAATGCTATAAAAATAATTCGGTTAAAGAATTGCCTATCGGTAACTACATGTTTTCCCCAGCTCTATGAAAAAAGAACTATTCTTCTGAGTTAATATACGTTAGCATTGGCTGTTGGATATTCTCGTGACAGTCTGATCCACGCTAACAGGAAAGTAACGCTATCTTTTGGGAAAATCAGTTGAGACTAATTGCTATACCTGATAAATGTAAATAACATTATAATCCATTTTAGCCAGTGGAAATCGGATAACAACAAATAAAAACATCATGGCCGACTGAGCTGAAATACCCAATGCCACTTCGCTTAATAGGGGGTTTCTTGTAGGTAGACATGAGTCAGACACGTAGACAAAGTACTAAAGGTGGAACAAGAATGGTTAATTCGGAATAGCGTTTTCGAGGTGGATATCCAACCTTCACACTATCACAATAAATAATTTTTATTTCCTGTATAGTTTCTAAAACGTTAAAAGAAAGTGCGACGTAATATTTACATGGTATGTAAATATAAACCGAGGAATTTATTTACAGCATGCACATATACATAAAATAGAATTCAGAAACACGAAAACAATGTCTGATCGTGGTCCGTCAACACTGGACGCTAAACAAACTGAAAAACATGAAAAAACGGGTGAAGAACTAAACTTTCATACTCTATAATATTACATAGGCGTGCCTGATTTTTTTTTTTTTCTTTTTCAGAATAAAAGTCGAAATTTTTATGACGTATGTGTTGTACTTTACACGTAACAAGCAACAAACGAAAAATAAAGTTTTTCACAGACGAACATGCGTAGACGCATTCCGAATTTAAAACTAGCCAAGAAGTTGTCTACTCTATGGGGTTTTTGAAGCTTGGTTCTGCGCGCTGTAAAAGTATTGAAAAAAATTACATTTTAATACACTATAATGTTGGGTAGGTTAGTACTACAGCATCTTCCTTAAAATATGAGTTTAATTTTTTGTAGAGTTTGTGCTGTAGCTTATTTACTCCTTTTGAAAAGCAGAAGTTTTCGGAGTTTACGTGTTAATGTAGGCGCGTCCTTCGAAAAATTTAGTCCATTTCCAATACCATGTTGTGGGCGGGATCTGCCAACATTTCTGTCAAATTTTAGTGGATAGCTTTATTTTTGCGGCCAGGAGAGTGTTACAACAGGCATTACACAGACGTATGTACAGACATGCTTAAATCGATTCACAACTTAGTGCTGATCAAAAATATTTCTATGAAATTTCCTTCCAGGCGTCGCAAACATTTTCACATCATCCTTCGCGATGGGTTCTTTTGCGTTACAACTTGATAACAGCAGTAAGGGTTAAAAGCTTTGGCTTTTACGTGATGATTGTTGTTGATTTGGTGATGATGCGATGATCTTGGTCTCTTTTAAGCAGGTGTTATACATGTTATAGTAATCTATTCAGTACTGCCCATTTTCGTGTTTAATCTGGAACATTGCCGTCATATTATGGCTGTATAAAAATTATTTATTTAATGATTGATCAGATTTTGAAAAATTACCAATAGACGAGTCAAAAAGGCTTTTTCTAATTTTGTTGACTTAGAAGGAAAATGCAGCAGTTGGGATCGATTTTGTTGCGAGCATGAAAGGTTTCGTATACGCTCTTGTAGACATCGAAAATCTCCAAGGCATGTCCAGCGTTGTTGAAAGTTTTGAATAAGATGCTTTTTGAGGCTTATCACATGCATCAGATGATGCCTTTCCGATCACCTTTAAACAAACTTTCCCACATCTATGATTTCGCAAGACTCTGCTAAGCACCTCAATCTCCCATGTGAGAACGTAGGCAATAGACAGACATTTAAAGGTCAAGGGTGAATGTTGTGGAAGAGACGACCTTCATTTGATCATCTATTCATGACAAGTATCATGCAATTATGACGAATAAGATGGGAATCTTCTTTGGGGGATATTTGATTGAGAGAATCTCTCATTAAGCCCAGCTTTACGACCATAAAGATCAGCTTTTTCATTCAGATGAAAACCACAATGACCGGCTGTCCAGGCCTGTTAGCATATAATGGATTTTAAATAAAGTTGGCATATATGGACAAAATTAATTTCATTTGTGAGGATCTTTTCTTTCAATTCAGGTCAGGGCCAATCTGCTGTCAGAGAAAAGCCTGAATTTTTTGATACCCTCAGATTTAAAAAGATTTACTACCAGTGCAAAAGTTGAAGAAAGCTCCTCGAAAATTTTTAATTTGCCTTATAATACAATACCGCGAAATCTCAAGTTACTTAACAAACTCAGCCATCAATGGCGTAAATTGTGATATCATCGTTTTGGTATAACCGAAGTCTTCCCCGACATGCAGTTCGAAGACACAACTGTGAAGCGTTCTTTTTTGTGTTCAGTATTGACTTGGAAAGATTTAGATCTATTTTGCATATGCTCTGCATAGAGCTCCAGACTAGAACAGCGTTGAAATTAACATTAAGACCTACAGGGGTGTCAAAAAAGAGATTAGCTTTAGTAGCAAGGTTATCAATACCTGCTTAAAAGTTCTTTCAGCAGAAACCAATAGGAAGTGATCAGCATATTGAAAATATTGCAGAACCAGCATTCGTTTACCCATATGATAGGTGGCGTATCTTGTTCCGAGTGTTTTAAGAAAGGAATGGTAACGTGAGTTCAATCAACGAATAATTTTTAAGCAAATCGTAGGTATAGCTTTTTAATGGTTTCATTTTAAATTGGAAAACTATGTGTTCTGTTATTTTGACGACGACCATTTAAGAATTTCCAGGAAGATTTCGAGTCCCCATTAGTGCTTAAATCCTCAATTAAAAGAGCCCTATGCTCTCTTTTTGCGTTTCTTACCGCCACTTTCCACTCTTTTTGCATCTCTTTGGAAAAGTTAAAGTTGGTGGAATCAGCATAACTTAGAAACTTTTGTTTGGAGGCTTGCAAAAAGGCAGATGGCAAGACATTCCACCAGGCCTTTACAGAGAAAAAGTTCGTTATCTGTAAATTTGTTTGAGAATTTTTGATTTCCGCTTGAAAAGTGTTGTGAATTGAAGAAATTTCAGGAATTAAGTTCACATTTGATAAGCGATCCAATGACAATTTACGAGATACAAATCGATTAATTTCTAGGACTGCATTGTCTTTAGTTTCCAAAATTAAAGGAAGTTATCGATTGTTACCTCGATGAACATCTTTCATGATATTCTGTTGAAAGGTTAATTGCGTTGAGTTTAAAAAAGTTACGTCTGACATACTTCTGATACCCGTACTACTGCAGGAGTATAAGGCGGATAAACAACTTAAAATAGGACACTTTATAATGTCAGTTCGTGTTGTAAACATGCTACTGACAAAAAAAATGAAGATATGAGCTTCAACTTTTGCAGAAGCTTTCGAAGTTTTCTCTCGTAAGTTGGTTCTGAAAAAAGATCAAACTGGTTGAAGAATAGGCCTACAGAGACTATCTATAACTCTGCTTCTCTAAAGGACTAAAAAGTAGTTTTTTGATTATTATTCGTAAACTGTAGCTGGTAGATCTCCAAAAATTTGATACGATGTTGTAGTATCTGTTCAAAAATGGGAAAAATTGACTACACTTCCCCGTTATTGTAGCGTACCAACATTTTTTTCCAAAGCTTTTCCCGTCTTCAAAAACCCGGTAAAGTGTATAAATTCATGGCCTGTTTCAAATTTGGAATGCAACTAATCTTGTCCGTTAGTTTATCTGTCTATAATCTTCCCAAGTCTGTAGTCTCTTTGGCAAACATTCTCCCGTGAGCGAATATGAAGATAACGGCTAAAAATTTCCAAAGAATTTGGAAGTGACTTAAACATTCCAACGGATAGGCATACAATTCCAACACGTCTGTACGACAAAATCTTTTGTTTTAAATATAGTAAAAATCCATGAAGATCATGAAAATTTGCTTCTTTTCCTTTTTTTTTTGTCCTTTTTATGATAACAAGTTTGGCTGTGAAAAATTCGAATGTAATTTTCTTACTTGTTTTTCGTCTATTTTTAGTTTGCATGTTGACATAAAGTCTTGTATTTTAAGAGCCATTTGCGATAGTAAAAAATTCTTAAAGTTTCCAGGTTATTCGCTTTTGCATGACGTATTAAGGATTTTTTTTAGGTAAAATGTGTTAAATTAAAAATATATTTTCTTTGAATTTCACATCTTTATTATTCTAGCTTTCCTACGAAATATGGTTTAGATGATGACTACAGCAATATAATTGATTCAGATTACGATACTTGTGCTGGATGTATTTACGACAAATGTCCTTTCAGTATATTGGATATGTTTATGAGTTCTGAAAACAATATAATTAAAAAGAAATAAATGAACTTTTTTCACATAACAAAATGTGAAGCCCATAAAGATTCTTTGCATAAATGATAGCGTGTTGCGCAGTTTCCAGTTAAGGCATTAGCAACATCGTAGCGTTTTTCTTTATAACCCAGGCTATCCAGATCTTCTGGTAATGGTTCAGGTATAGTGAAAACCGCACGCATTAATTCACCCACAAAAGAACCAGGTTGAACTTCAGTTGCCTTTTGGCCGGTCTCGCAAAGTGCTCTCAGTACACAATGATGTCCGTTACAGCCACGTCTAACAAGAAAAAAAAAATCTTCAAATAAAAATTCTTATTGTATGGAGAGGTCTTCATTGCTCTAATATAGTGGGGTATTCTCTGTACTAATTATTCTAAGGAGTTTCTGTTGTAATTAGCAAGTTCCAAAGAGAGGCACGGTCAGGGGAATGTCTACAACAGACATTACACAGTGAGATAAAAGCGCAGATGGGAAACCGAACAGATAAAATCGATTTAAAATTTGATTCTGATCAAAAATTTATTCTTTGGGGTCCCTGAAGCTTTATTCTGGATGTTGCAAACTTCTTGACAAAAGGAGATCAACCTTCGGTGATGGGTATAAAAAAGTGAGTACTGTTATTAAAGCAATTTGAGGAGTTCCTTTACCGGACGCACACTATATATAACGGCAAACTAACATTATATGAACAAACTGACACTTGCAATGCATTAAAATTTATCCATTTTCAATTGCTGGAATCAACGCTACGGGTTTTTATGAAAGTTGTTGTTTGTATTGTAATGCAATCTACTACTATTGGACTGTTTGTTAAAGCGACTTCAGGGTAAGTGTGACAATGACGTGCATTTAGATGATATTTGGTGACAAAATTTAAATACTTGCATCGTTGTTACATGCAAACCCGTTTCACATCAAGTTTTTGCAACTGCTTATTGCGAACTTTTTGTTCTGGGAACGACACAGTAGCAATTAAAAACTGAAGAAAAGTATAAAAACCGTGAGGAAGAATGCTTGAGTTCCTAATTGCGCTCTCGTTTCTTAATTATTAAGCAGTTTTTAGTTTTTATATAAAACCTAAAGTTAATGGTATTGGTAAACGCTGAATAATATCTGGTTTCTAAGCCCTGTAAAGCCCACGCCTTTTTTTGCCAACAACATGGATGCACAGTCGGTCCTCCCGCAGCCACCACTAATTTTGTCTACAGAAAAAAAAATTGGCTTCAAATCTGTTTAATCGTCAAGTAAACTTGCTGCACCCGCTGAAGCTAAAGCTTTCGTGCGAAGGTATTAGAAAACTGTGAATAAATAAAGGAAGTAAGACAATTATGTTCGGTCGTGACCCATCTCCGTTATCGTAAAAAAGACCAAAAACACGGCAAAGAAATAAATTTTCATACTCTGTAACATCGGAAGGGTGCAACTAATGTGTGGGGATAATGAAGCATTTGAATTTAGATTTAATCAGTGCACCTTTATTGTGAATTGCTGACAATCTTGATAAAAATATGATTTCAAATACCGCGTATTTCAATAAAGTGGTATATAGTGGATATACAGTGGCATACATATTTTATTTATCGTCGGTAAAACATAAGCTATTATGAAATTGAAAACTTTTCTTCTTCCTGCACAAGCTAGTGATTGATATTGCAAAATTCGGTGCAAATCGAATACTAATTCTTTCTCAGTTAGTTTAATCTTTCTTTTAACTTACTTTTCCAAATATTTTTCAATTTTCTCATAAAGTTCATGCCGACTACTGCGTTGATATCTTATATGTATGCGATCCCATTTGGACATGTATTGAGATTTTATACCGTGACGCTTGTAACGCAGGTGACGTTGGTTCTTTTCCTCTTTATCCAGCGTATTACGTTTGCCAAATATCGGAAAGACGTGACGTTGAATGGCTCGTCCTGTACCAGAAGGGGACCACGTATTGTGCTGATACTTGTTTGAAAGATTTGATTCATAGTATGGATTAAGATATCCGGGTCTTTTTAAATGTTTCTCAAATGGTTCCCTTAGTCTAGGAAAAGCATTAAGATCCGTAATTAGGTTTATAGATTATGAACTCACTTACCTGGATGATAAATTCCACCAGGGATATTTACTGAGGTTGGAACTTTTATGTAAATCATTTGACCATTTGTTATAGTAGCTGTGATATTTAGGCAAAAAGGTCTTAGCGTTTACTTGAATTTCTGCTTTATGAGGAGTGTAATACTTATAGTGCATAGGAACGCGAAATGCCGAGCCGGGAAATGATTTAATCGTGTGTTGTCGCCAGTAATTCCTGGCTGGTGTTTTTGTATCTGCGTAAGTTATTTGACTAATGGTATCGTTGCGTGTAGTACCTAAAGTCCCCTCTTTAAGACGTTCTCTTAAGTCATTAAGTATTTCGCTGGGCGGCTTGCTGGGCAGTTCCCAAGCCAAAGCCACAGTAACTCCCAAAATTAAATAATTGGTGTAATCGACGACACCAATGATTAAGTCGTAGACTACAAAAAAAGAAAAGAAAAATTAACACTGATGCCGTGGAATAAAACATAGGTCATACGATGCTTTTTCCTGTTATCAACGCGACAGTATGTTATTAAAAATTAGAGATGAAGCCTGGGAAGACATAAACTGGAGTGTGAAATGTTTAACTATTTGAAATGATACCTAGTGGATATGTTTAGCTCTTCATGAACGCACACATCGGCTATGTATTTTCTTGTGAATGAACTAGCCGAAGAATTTATACAATATCTATCAATACCTATGAAACATTGCTTTTAAACAAGAACTACAAGAAGGACCATATCTTAAACTTACAAAGGTTTTAATATTATTGCTCTATATGTATACATACCGATTTGGAATGATGATCCTTCTGGGAACTCTAAGTAGCGTTTTTTACGTGTTAACAGCTTTTCTTGTGGGCCTTGCATCTCTTCATCGATAATGTATTCCCAAGTGGTATTTTCTTGTAATTTTGCATATTGTTGATCTTTTTGCTGATTTTCTTTTGCTAAGCAGCAATATATAAAAATTATTATTAAACAACACAAACAGTTAAAGTGCATCTTTTTAATTCGTCACGAAGTAGTTTGCTGACAAACAAAGAAAATGTAAACAACAAAGATAGAGAAAAAACTAACAATAGCTCTTTATAGAATCGTATATTCAACTGTGAGCATTAACAAGACAAACGTGCTGTTTACGTTACTTTACGCCCTACGGGTACAAAGATACAAAAACTTAAAAACTAATCTTAATTGGCTTCAATGTATCATTTGGTGAGTGAGTGTATATGAGAAGGCGGACATCGTTTCTTCTGACGAAACCTATTGTCAGTTTGTGCAAGTCTGCGTTTAGTTGAATTTTAAAGAAATCGTCTACAGAATGGTAACAAAGCAGTTGATGTTTATTTTATTACTCTTACTGTTGTTCAGTACTTTCTCAAAGTCATATTTGTCGTGCTTATTCTTTTAATTTTCTGATTTAGTTTCTTCTAAAGTTTTCTGTTTCGAGAATTTGTTAAATATTTAGAATTACGGTTAATTCTCTTTCCTTGTGTGCGTGTGTATATAGGCGTGCGTTTCTTGTGCAGTTTGTTCGTTTATCGCAGAAGTTCGTGTTCATGTAATTGGTGTCACGGAGTGACACGCAAAATTCTGCTGAAAAGAAATACAACAAATGGTGTTAATAAGTTTTCTGTTGCGCTCTGAACTGTAAAGCGTTGTTCTTCATTAAAATTATGGTTGTTGTTAGTTTTGTTGATTAGCACGTCTGTCTTAATTACTACGTACATATGCTAAATTTACGATTCTGGTTAATGTCAAGGGGAACACTTAAGGCCGAACAGAAACGTTTTGCTGATGGCACCAGAAAGCGAGCAAACGAAATTGTTTATGTTGACAATTTGCGAAAGCAACCATGAATTCAAGTTTAATCTGTATTTCAAAATTAAAAGCGGTCAGACGATGCAGCATTTCAACTTGATCAAGGGCACTTACATATAGACAGCCGGAGCAAAATAAATAACAATTACCTTACCATTATTTAAGTGATCGGAGTACAAAAAAATGATAAATCATAAACAAAACAAAAGATGTAAAAATTCGCAAAGCAAAGAAATACAACGAAGTTCCTTGTTATTAAAACATTATGCCCTAGTCCACCCTGCAGTTGTTCGTATAGCAAGTTCATCAAACAAAGCGTTAAGGAAGTGGTCGAAAAAGTGATCTGATTCCATCTCTCTTCAATAACAATTGCCCTTACCCTGAAGGTTAGACAAGCTTCGATCAATTCTGAAAATGATTCTGACACGATCGGCATCCTTGTTCCCATAGATAATTTGGCAGAAATTAGGACGCAAGTAAATAAGTAAAGTAATCTTAAATAAATGTTATATGCGCTTAAGGATTTTTTACCCTAGGGTGTTGGAGTGTTTTACCACTATTTTGAAGTTGTGTTTAATCATACGCGTTGACGCTAATGTCGGCCGTTTTTACCGATAATTGCATGCGGTTTATGGAATTAATCTTTCTAATAACAGATCGACAGTGTCGTAATTCTTCTCTCTAGTTAAAAAAAAAGCAGCACCTTTCCCATAAGTATTACGCTTTGGTGATATTAATCGAAGTTCAAATGTCCTCTTCTTTAAATCCTTCGTAATAAGCTACTATTGCGCTTAAGAGGACTAAAGGCATTCGTAGGTGACCAGGCAATACTTGGTAGATCTCAACGTTTTCCTTTGAGGCAAAAAAAGCTTTACGCGTTTGGCGTTTGTCATTTGATAAATGCGGAATACTTTTTCTTTAAAGCACTCCACCATAGATCGTCTGAAGATACTCATTTGCCTCTAACGAGATAACTATAATATTTATGACGATTGTAGAGATGTCAGAAGAGATTACAATCTTACCTTTATTTTTTCATCTTTTCTGGTCATTTTAGATTTAAATAAGAGACAAGATTTGCTGTAAGTAGAAGGCAGATTTTTCATTTTTCTTCTGTTCTTTCTTCGTTTGGTTTTTTTAAATGAATTTCCGTCTGTATTATTGAATTGCCGTGCGTATGTAGGTGAAAGATAGCCTGCGCTTAATACTAAAATAATAATATAATTTTAAATTTAAATGAATAACCGGTACTTTTTGTAAATGAATAATTTCGATATAGTAGGCCTGCAACATATCGCATACATATATGTTGTTGTTTTGAGTTGTCCTACATTCTTGTAGTTAACTATTATCAGTGTTAGTTCAATAGCTACGCTAGAGGTGACAGTAATGAAGGTAAGTGAATGTTAGCAATATTTTTTGTTATTATTGAATATTAATAATACTTAAAAAGAAGGTTAAAACGTTTCCCAGATACCATCAAAATTTACAATTCAGTATAGTGGGCCAAATTCAGCTGGTTACACATGTATACATGTATACACATTATATAAATATATATATATATAGCAGCTAATAAAGTGTAATCCTTTTTGTGGCTCCGCAAGCGTAATTAGAACACACTTCTAATTAGGATTTATATTAAATTTTTTCACCATTTTATTTGCAACTTGGCATTATTTGTGGTGTACAATACGAACATTGATATGCAGCGTACGGAAATTGTTAAAACTAGTTATGAAAATAATAGATGCGCGGCTAGGTTTCCTGCATGTGGAATGAAGCACTTATATGGATTATTGTATCTTCGGGGTGACGAAGAAAAGTCCGAAGGACTCTTTCATGCACATAAATGTCTTTTAAACCTGGTTTGTGGACTGAAAATGTCATTTTGAACATGAAAATTCCTGTTAATGGAGAACGCTAGAGAAGCATGATAATTAATTTTTTGTGGTAAAAATCAGATGTTTGGGATTTGACCGAAATGTGGCTTCAACAAAATGTTGTAACACGCCATACCTTTCGTGACGTAATCAATTTATTGGAAGAAAAATCAACGACGATGTAATATCCAAAAAAAAAAAAAGTCATGCGGCAAAGGTTGTTGTTGCTGCAAGATTGAATGCATGAAATCATTTTTAAATGAGAATGGCATAAACTAATATTTAAAGTGAAAGAAAATTCATGTTCATAGCGTTTACCATTTGGTTTTTATTTTTAATTAAGAAAAAAAAAAAAACATTTACTTGATGATATATTTATATATATGTGTACTAAATATGTAGAGGACCTCCGTAAAAATCAGAATCATTTCAAATGCGCGTTGCCTTCTGCGTGTTTGTCTGCTCCTTTCGAATTTCAGAAATGTATACCTGAAAGTATATTATTTTTCGAAATTTTTGGTGTTTTCTTAACTAGATTCCCGTGCATACATTTTGGTATAACAAATAAAAAAGAAAAGATTAATATGTAATCAAAACCTAATGAATATAGAATTAAAGAAAGATAATAGTTAGTAGGTAAGTGCTTAATAATTTTTTTAACGGAGCTCAGGGATATTTCTGCATGTTACAGACAGGATGAGGAAACTAATGTATTAATAGCCTTTGCGAGTGGATGTAACAGTAATGATATTTAATGTAATTAATTATATTTAATATTAATTAGTTAAAGGAAAAGATGGGAGAGAGAAAAACAGAATCCCGTTAAAAGCATGAAAATTTTGTACTTTTTGTTAAAAGCTGATTAATTAACAATGTGCTGCAGTGTTGAAGCATAATTAAATCTGATTTAATGCTTGTTTTTCTCATTTTTTTTTCTGTGCTTTGTCACTTAGCATTTATCTGTTTGGTTTACAGTACAGTAAATATTCATATTTTAACTTGTTTGCAGGAAGTTTTGTTTTTAACTATATATATAATAGTTATATATATTCTACCCTTCACTTTGCTGTAGAAATTAGCAGCTCTTCCCGTTATTTATTTTTTTTTGTTAATGTTTTGCATGCCGACCTCACAACTGAAAGTATAAATAAAAAAACGAAGTGTTTACAGCACAACTGTTGTACTGTAAAGGTTTTTTGCTCAACTTGATTTTTTAGTTGTTCTTATATAAATGAAAAAAGAAAAACGAAGACCAAGTTCGAATGCCAATCTAAAACTAACCATCTTTTCACATGTGCTTCAAATGCTGTAAGCTTACACACGCGTTGCGTTTTATAGAGGAAAAGTTTTCGTTTATTTGATCGCCATAGCAAAAGTTTTTACATGCACCTGCCCAAAATAAGGGCATGTTCATTTTACCAGTTACTCTGAGACAATAAGAAATATCTATCCAAGATCGGCATGAGTCAATTTAGCCACATCCGCACGTTATCTCGTTTACTATGTCTATGCGTCTTTACAACTTCTTGTCTTCACCCGAATGTACTTCGGTCCATTAGTTCTTCCATCTATTAAAAATGTGCTATGAAAAATTGCATAAAATTGAAGAACTTTGGATATATTTCCTAAATTTTTCCTCTAGCGCAAACTTTCTAAGAAAATAAATGCGGAAGTGAACCGTGGTTGACACAGAATAACATCCTCGAAAAGATTTGAAAGAAAATTTCATCAGATGTATACAACGGCCCTCGCGAAAATAATCCTAAATCCCTTGCGGCATCTTTAATGCTTATGTTTCTAAGATTCGCCTTAAAACGAATGTAGGTCGCTTTTCATTTTTTATACTCATCACCGAAGGATGAGGCGTATATTCATTTTGTCAAAATGTTTGCAACGCCCAGAAGGAAGTATCGGAGACTCCACAAAGTGTACATATTCTTGAATTCTAAATCGATTTACACATGCCCATCTGTCCGTCTGCGTAATGTCTATTGTAAACATTCTCTTGGCAGCAAAAATGAAGCTATCAACTTTAAATGTGGCAGAAACTTGCATGCAGGTTGTTATTGAAAATGGGCAAAATCGGTCGAAGGTCTCGGCCACAGCACCACATGAACTGAGAACACCTCTGTTTTTCAAAAGGAGTGAAAAATTGCTTTTTTGCTCATTACTCATAAACTATAGCAAATGAATGTGCAAAAATTTCAATGCATATTCTAGGGGCGATGCTGTAGCATTTTTGTGCAAAAATGGAAAAGCTTGATCACGCCTATCCAATTTTATAGTGTTTCAAAATTTAATCAGTTTTTCAATACCTTTATAGGCGCAGAAACAAATTTTAAAAACCCCACAATGTGTACAAATTCTTTACTAGTTTCAACGCCCACATGCCTGTACGACAAAAACTTTTATTTTGAAAATAGGAAAAATCAGCTATGCCCTCTCCATATTGTAGAGCGTGAAAATTTTGTTCTTTGACTTCTTTTGTTTTTTTTAGGGGAATGGTGATGGGTACAAAAGATTCTGTACCGACGGAATTTA